TTCTATCAGCTCTCACCTGTTTTTCAAACTCTGCTCTATCATAACAGATGTATTGATCACAAAGAAGATATTCAGAGCCATTAAATCTACTTAGCTTTTAGTAAAATTATTCAACTTACTGTGATTCAATAATAAGTGAGTGAAGATGTCATTAGCTGCCAGTTTCATGAGACCTTGAAAAATCTTCATCTTGATCAGTTAACTCTGAATGATTGAGAGTTTCTTTCAAAGTATGTGCAGGCTCTTATCTCTCATGAAGCCCTGGTCTTTGAGAATGCAATTCACATTTATGCAAAGAAATATCATGTTCATGTCTATAATAATAATACTATTTGAAGCTGTAAACAATCTGTTATTAATATTCAGGCCATAAATGTTAATATAGACACTTCTCAGTTAGATTCTGATAAGGCTGACAATCTTCATCAGAATCTTTCTCTCTTTATTAGCTGCTGAATCATACTTCTACAGAATATTTGAACAGACTGCAGCCTTGTTAACAGTACTCTTGAGACTCTTCATAACATTGTATAAAGTTCAGATATGAAGAATCTCTGTCAAGATTCTTCATTTACACTGCTAATTAATTTTGACAAATATGACAGCTCTGCTTATTTGAAATGAGAGGATCTTAAACTTGTGTCTATCTTTCACAGCTGTCATGACTTTTCTCATGTTAATCAAGCCTGCAGCTGCATGCAGTTCTCTATTACAGTTGTATATACTATTACTGTTTATAAATCTCAAGAATTATCACTTGATCAGACTGTTCTTGATATTTCTGAGACTGAATTCCAGACTGGTCTCATATATGTTGTGATTTCATGAGTCAAAACATATCAAGGTCTTCTGTTTGAACAATTCTTTGATTATTTCAGATTTCATCAGTCTGATGATGAAGTAAGCAGAAGTATGCAGATGTGCAAGATTGATTATATAAAATATCAAAGTCAACAGATAACTAAGTTATATCTCTTTTCTTTTTATATGTCTCTGCTAATCTATATTCTATATAGCTTCATTCACTCTTTATTTCATCTTTTTCACAGTTCATATTTGATCTGCTTATTCACTCATTCTTCATTACTGCAAGTTCTTCACTCTCTGTTCTATCATTCTCTCTGCCTGTTCTGCTCACAGATTCACTGAATTCAATCATTGAATTTGACAAACCTATTACAGTCAATTCTATTATAATCACTGAATCTGAGAATGAGCAGTTAGCAGTCTACAGAAGATATTAAAACAATCTGAATATTGATTTATATAGCTCAGATTTAATATAATAACATCTTTGACCTGAGAGATTGAGAATCTTCTAAGACCTGTGTTATTAAGATCTGTGTTGCATCATATAATAAGAAATATTGAATTCTTACAGTCATCAACACATGTATAAGAAGAAGTGAATGAATCTCAGAGTATTCTCTTTCTCTTTAAAGAATTCATCTTATTTCTCACCTCTCACCTCTGCCAGCTGTTTTTTTTTTTTTCAGAAATCATGTCATTTACCTCTATTAATTCATCAGAAGTTCAAAAAATCATTAATACTGTTATTATAACTGAAAACAACATCTTGAAACATGTTCATTGTAAGTAAGATTCTTAAAATGATGAAAATTACAATTCTAACAGTCAGCACAGTTCTCAACAATCTTGTTCAGTCTGCTGAGCTACTAGCTGTCAATCTCATTCTCAGTTCTGCATCTGTGCCTGCGCCTGCTTCTGCTGTATCTGTCAGTTCTAGATCATCAAGTTGACTGTTGACTTATTTAACTGAAAGAATGTCTGAGAAGCTGTTAAAGAAGCTACAGACTCTTATCAAATTGCTCTGTACTTGTGAGTCAGTCTTGTAGAAGAGTTATCAGATCAATACAAAAATCAATACAAATTATAAAGCTCTTCTTCTACAATTCTGCAGTGCTGTTTTTACAGTTCTCTGCAGTTACTGTGTCAGAGAAGAAGACTCTTTTATCATCTGCATCAGCACTCTGAATCAGTGTTATAAAGCTTGTATCAGTTGTCATTACAATGACACTGAAAGTTGTTACTCTTATTATAGAAGTGAGTCACTTTTCAATATAAAATATGTCAATTTTAATACAATTAATTAATAGTTATACATAGTCAATATCAGTAAGAAGAATGATAAAGTGAAAGAAAAGAAGCAGAAGAATAAAAAGAGAAAGAAAGTTAAGAAGAAGAGTTCATTCAAGAAGCACTCTGCAGCTGAGAATACAGAAACTAGAGCCTTGAAAAAATAAGTGATAAGTGTTGAGTCAGTTGATAGTTGTGATATTGAGATTTTGACTCTTTATATTGAAAATGAGGCTCTGCACAAGAAGAATGCAGTTCTGAAGACTAAATTCAGAACTATTACAAGCCTTCTTCAGATCACTCAAACTGTTCTTGAGAATGATATATGAGCTGGCAGGGCAGGGTGAGGTGTTTTTTGTTTTTTTCCTTGCTTAGTTAGCTGATGCTTTTGCACTGAAAAATGAATCTCTATATGTTTTTACAGTTCTATCCCTTCTATTATTATTAATAATAAGCCATAAAATCAATCTTGCAGAGCCTTCTGTTTTGAGCTTAGCTCTGCAATGTCTTTGCACACAGAGGCTCGTGTGCATTAAGATATTTTATATTAAATAAACTGTCTCTTTGTTATTGCCGAGAAAGGTAGCAAAGGTCCGGATAAAGGTAGGGGGCTCTTGACAAAGGGCATAACAATGAACAAAGCGAAACATTCCAAGTATAAACTTCAATGCTCCGTAAAAGCCCAGGGGAGAATACAAATATAACAACCCGCCCGTCCACATAAGTCAAAAGAATTTGTACTAGTTAACATAGGACTTGATTGACTCTTTCCCTATTCTCCCTTACCCCCTTTCTCTAGCCGAGACCTTGTGTGAGATTTTCTAGGTTACACCCGCCAACGGCTGCAGGTCGAGGAACACATATACGTACAGCAACAGCGCGAAGGGAGTCTCCTCTGTACTGACAGACAGTAGTAACAAGTGGGACCGCAAGCAGGGGAGCCGTTAGGATGCCGTCCACTTGTGATACGTTTTGAAAAGCCCTGTCCATCTGGGTAATTAAGGCAATAGGTAAGCTTAAAAACGCTTCGCCAGAGAGTACAACAGGTAGCTCGGGTACCGGCAGAGCTTGATCATGTGTTAGAACGCAGAGATAAAAGAAATGGAAAAAAAAAAAAAAAAAAAAAAAAAAAAAACATGAAAATGTGAAATAAAGCTGCAGGGTCCAGCAAGAAAGCGAATTGTTTGAGCAATTAACCTGGTTAAACTGGCGACTATGCTTATTACTAGGTAGCCTAAGTATTTTAGGTTGGAATCATTAACTGCGGGGGAAAACATCATTTTTGATAGTCGGGAAGAGCAAGTTGTTTGGTACTGAAAGGTGTGGGATACAAAAGGATAACCCTGCATGACTTAGTGCACAGTCTGGAATGCAAGATGATCGATGCCGAAGAGCTCAGACCAGCACCCTCTCAAAGGGTAGGGAAAAAGAAATATCGAGAAAAATGTAAAATCGATCAATAGAATAAGATAACAATGACTCTCCCTGAGCGGATTCCCAAGGCATCAGATAAGAGTTGGCGAATTGCTGGTCAAGATCTCCTCAGCCAAAAAAGTCACCAGTTGAAAGTGATACCTGCAACCGAACCAGTAATTTTTCTCATGATTTCACTCAACCTTTTTGATATTTATCCGTGGATGACCGGAGATAATGAGATTGGGAGAGAAATCCAAGATTTCCCCATGATTCTTTCTTTTTATACTAAAAGCTCTTATTCCAACTTAAAGCGGAGCCATCAATATAAAGTTTGACAGGTCACACCGCAGAACTTGAAGTATGTAATTGAGAGTGACCAAATAAATATAAATGCAATGGTTGTAAAGAGGTATCTGCGAATATCAGCCTGGAATTCGCCGGGAAGCGAAGCTTTGAAACTTGGGGAATTTGTATGAAAGAGAGCGTTCATATACTTTTCAGCCAGCCGCAAAAAAGGATGTGCACCATATAAACTATTCAAAACAATGTGCTGAAAGCCTAGAAAGCTAAAAGCCCGCTTCTTTGTTGGCAAAATAGCACATCTCGAAAACACTTCATGAAGCAGACGGAATAGAAGCAGGTTGTTGCTGTCTCACGTGTTAGTCTCACCACAGCTTGCCTTCACAGTGATCAACAAGCTATCCGAGCCCAATCCCATCATTTCTCTTGTTTGTTAGATTTTTTCTTTTTTCTTTTTCTTTTTTTTTTTTTTTTTTTTCGAGATCGTCGCTGGACCCTGAAGCTTAAATAGAGACCATTTCCGGTTGATTATTGTTGTGAATTGTTCATCTGCGCTGCATGATCGACGCCATAGTCAACGGTGCTCATTGTTCATTGGCGCCCCCGTTCGTTGAATCGAAAATCGAAGTTTGCAGAGGCTTACTTGGAATGAGCAACTTATCCAGTAAAATATTCCTTTTTGCTGCATTTTCCATTTCACCGTACCTTATTGGCTGGCTAGTGAGAGCATTAACTGAAAATAGTTTATGGAGTTTCGAACTTTGGATGCAAGGGTGCCGACAATCAGTAACAGCAGTTGATCCATACGGCACTGTGGATACATGAACCCTGGAAGGAGAGATGGAATTTCTCGGATTCACACACCAGCCACTGAATGCCCGGTAGGCGACGGAACACCCGTGGGGCTGTATGCATTAGATATAGATCCCTGCAGTTAAATTTGCAACGAACATTTCAAGTTGACCGGATCGAAGTTTGCGTGGTGCATTCAATGACAGCAGGCTAGGCTATCAGTCCACGATGTAAATCTTGGGCAACAAAGGACTTAACAGTGCAGCCAATATGATCGTTTCCCGCAGTACTTCAAGAGAGGGTAAGTTAGAAACTGGAAATCAACGTAGTTTGTTATCGTCAAGATTCAAGGGTTTGCGATCATCAGCAAGGGATCTGATTTGCCAGTGCCAACCCGAGGATGTCCCCATGTATCAAGACGTATTTAAGTGTTCGCTAGCAAGCAGCTTTTATATAATCTAGATTGAATAAAGGTGGTATGCAGTTGCCGATGATAGGAAGTCGAGCGTCTCACAGAAACGGTACAATCAATAGCCAGGGTGACGAGCCGTTGAAGCTAACACAAGTGTAGTTTCACTGTTAGGTCCTCCGGAGTAAAGATTATTATCATTCAGCGGTTTCATCATTCAGCGGTTTCATTGACGATTTCCTTTCCACACAGGCTCAAGAAACGATGTCTCGGAACAGGAATAACCCGAGGCTCCAAACAGCATGAGGGTTAGCAGAAGCATACTTATTCAACGCTATGCCCATCTTTCGGTTCTTCAAGTGAGCTCGGAGAATCCATGACAATGGTTAGACACTGCCATGGCGCGGACGCTTGCAGGAGGAACCGAAAATCCGAAAATCCGGCAATAATGAGTCGAACTTTACGCAGCGCCCTTAATGCGGAAGCTGGCTACTTGGACAGGTACATTAGGTATCGGGTAAACCCAGTCGCACATGACATATTCTTGAATGCATCAATCAAAAGAAGTACTTACCGTAAATCCACGCAGGATTAGTCCGCGTCCAGCCCTTCTTTCAGATTCTTTTTTGCTTTTCTTTCCCTTTCTGTTGGGAAAGAGCTGGTTTCAGGGAAGCTGCAGGATGTTTGCTACCCAGACAGTTCTTGAACGACTCGAATATAAATGTATATATTTCCGTATAAACCTCACCTTCTTTTTACTAACTCTTCATCACAGACAGTGACTAAAAGTGAGCATAAGGAAATCCATGAGGTAGTCCCCTCACTCTTAGCAATTAAAACTTATGATCATATTGTTTATCGGAAGCTTTTGATCAACTCTCAGGATGGCTGTTGGCCCTCGCGTGTCCAAGGAGGATTTTATGCATGCCTTGGGCCTCGATGCGAATAACCCTCAACATGAGCCTTATTATCGAGCAATGAGAGTAAGTTTTCCACGAAATGTCGGAGGATTTTCCATGACTAGGAGGTCTTTTAGGGGCGCACGGTGGTGTAGCCTCAGGAATATTCTGGGAATGGTATCTTTTATTAACCAGCAAGCTTCAGGATGAAGCCATCGTTGTGTACAATCAATTAAATCAGGATAGTTCAAACCTCGTTGAAAACCTGAGGAACGACCCTTCGATCCGACCACCGTATTTCTGGCACCATATCCGACAAGAGAGGCAGCGATGGGGTATTCTAGAAATATGGCGAAACTCTAGACCGGTCACACGGGCATGGTTTGATCGCGGCATTACGGACGGCGAATATGGCCCCAACTGGGTAACAGGATGGCTGTTGTACAGCGTGTTCCGCTCTCGAGACTTTCGCAATAATCGTAATCGTCGGAAAGGTGAAGATTCAGGGTCTGGGAATTCAGGTAGTACCAATACCCGTCCGTCGCCATGTTGACATATTGTTTCCCACGACCAGACGCTGATAGATCATTCTTGTTAATAGGCCAGGGCCAACCGAAGAATGATCAAAGCCCTACCAGCGGCACCGAAAGACAAAATGGTGGATATTATGACCCTGTCCGGAATGGCACCCACTAAAGTGCCGCCCTTAAATTGTATACGGTTCGACTTCCTATGATTTTTTGCTGGACAACATATCACAGCTGTCCGGTTGCAACATGGGTTTTATTTTATAACTCTGCTGCCTTAGTATTTTTCCTAAATCATTGCCCGGATGCCTATTTATTTCCTTCGTTAGCCATCGTTTCCGATTCTCCGAACGACTCTTTTCCTTCCCCCTTATCGGTGGACTGGCCGAGCCAGTCACATTGGGCGGCAGAGGTTTAATCAGTATATTAAGGCGTTCTCTTTCCTGTTTTCCTCCTTTGGACGTTGAAATAATCTTCGAGTTGGTGCTATCAATCATTTTTCGTTTCCTTCGCTTCAATCTTGCCTACAGCGTAGAGGTGGTGGCATATAGATGGAACGGACTAGGTGCGTTAAACCGCTTAGTTAAGCCCTTAAGCTTTTCATTAGTTAGTTAGCTAACAACCGGTCTGATTTCTTTAGCTTTTGGTAGGAAGCTCCCAAGTTTCGCCTGTTGGCGGGTGCTCTTTCGATGACGAGGTAGTTGACGAGCAAACGGTGATATGACTTCCAAGAGTATATCAATATCGACCGTCTCTTTAAGCCGGCCAATTGTCCGGGATGAAGAAGTGACTTCAACTTCCTGGTTGAGTCACGCATCTTCTAGAATTTCTAAATATGAGCGAGGTGAGGTAATTGTTCGACCTATCAAAGAGCGCTCTACCCGGTGGTCATCCAATGAAGGATTTTCGACTCCTTTACCGGTGCTGGTTGAATAACGTGACTCTGCCCTGGTTTTGTTGCGGCAACAATCTGTTATGTATCTCTTGCATTTGTCGACATTTGGGATTATTCTTGTAGCGTCTCTGCTCTCGTTGGCGTTTGAATTCCCCCCCGGGCAAACGAAGACTAGAGGATGCTCTTTGCCTTTACTTGGCAATGTATGATGACGCGAAAATGAAAAGCAGAGTGTGTTGTTTCCTTAGTATTTAGACCATTTATTAGTTCTAATCAACTGGAAAGTCCCAGAAATACTTACATCGTTACTTGTACTTGATATTTCGCCCCTTCCCATTCCTCTCCATTTCAAGCTCCCGCGTAGGTGATGTGGCATGGAGATTCATGAGATTTACTTGCTGAGACAGTAGCAGTATCGTGGCATCGAGCGAGAAGAGGATGATGTATCACCGTTCTGCCATTACTACCTCGTCACCCTAAGTCAGTCCATTCATAGAGCCCATTTGATCGAAGTCAAGCCCTGACATATTGATTGGCTAGGACATCCCCGGTTGTGTGGCTTGGGAGAAAGCCATGAATGACGTCGGTTGCTGGAGGGAACAAAGACAATCATAAGATCTTTGAATTGCAGAGAAAGAATATCTCATAGATATCCATTGAAATATCGGCCAATATCAATCAGGAACTGATATTTTGGTATACAGATCTGGATGATGAAGTTTTCACTGGTGTTCGTGCTCGAGGAGGGAAGGGCCAACAGTAGCGAGTTATAGTTAACTAATTAGTTAAGTTAACTAAGTTAACTAGTTAGTTGGTTAACTAACTTAACTAACTAGTGAAGAGAGTGACACTAGGTAGAACCGAGAATCGAGGTTGAAAATTATAAGTGACAGTGAGTTGTTTCTTCCCCTGTCAGCTTTACCGCCAATACAGCTCAAGGAAAAGAATAAAATCCCACTGAGGCCGATATTGGTGACCGTTATTTTGTAGCCGAAATATAAAGGATTCCTCTGACGCGATGAAGATCTATCTGCATGGCCCCGGAAAGCTCTCTGTTGAATGTCTTCGTTTTGTCAGAAGATATTCGAGTTGCTCTCTTCACCTTCACATCTCGTTTGACATCTCTATCATCATATCCCTCGGGGGGAGCCGTGACATACCTGAAGCTAGTTCATGTTTCATACCTACTATACCCAGGGAATGGAGGATGTACACATTGAGGTGCACTAGAGGGTATCTCACAAGGAGATCTTTATCCTTGATCAAAGCCCAAAAATGTAATTAGGAATACTAGACCGACCCATTCATTCAATTATCCTCGTTGAACCGAGGCCAAGGGGTAGCAGTGAGTTCAGGCCGTTACAAAAAGCCCTGGCGGAGCTGCCAGCGTGCCGGCAGATCAGCTTAAAATAGTAGTGGAAAAAATATATCGTTCTTTTTCACCACATGTTCCCAGATTCCAAGGCTCTAATAGATGTCGGGACATGAAGATATTCATGAGAGGTCATTTGCTAGCTCCTATTACGTGTTGAAACCACTAGTTACTCACACGCCTCTACGGAGTAGTAGAGAAACCAAGAGCCAGTCATTGAATCATGAGAAACACCGAACTTATTCTTTCTTCCTATTCTAAAATACTCCAAGCTTACTATCACTATCATGGGTGTTGTTAAAGTTCAGCCCCTAAATTGCCCATAAATCCCCCTGAGCAGGAGATCAGGCTCAATCAGGAAGGAAAATTATATGATAGCGGAGAAAGAGACAGGGAGAAAAACAAAAAGAAGGGTAGGGGTGTTTTCTACTCCTGGACGTTCGGCCGATGCACTTCAACAAGAAGTCGAAATTAGAGGCATCATAAGAATGATTATAAAATGGTAAAAATGAAAGGGAAAAAAAGAATGAAAAAAAATTGAAATGGAAATCACTCGAACACAAAAAAAGGATGCTTGTTTCCTAGAAAACAATAGACTGGCAAATTCCACCCTAAGTAAGCCCTCTCAGTGAACAGAGAGGTAATGTAATAGTTTTGTTTGTCATAAGCGAAATAAATAATGGAAAAGAGACAGATGAGCTGTTGAATCGAGTAAATGGAGGTCACTGTGAAAACCTAAAGGATTTCAAATTCACGGAGATTCCTTCCACCACACTTCCCCCTTTCTCTTCTCGTCGCCGAGTAATAGCTCTCCTTAGAAATCGGCCCTGCCACTGCCTGTCTGCCAAAATCAAAGAGCAACTGAGGTTCTGGCCCGTTGGGTTGCAAAAACATATACCCGGACATAAGTTCATGTGAGGGAAAAAAAAAAACATTATAAACGGTAAATAAAGCAGACAGGAGAGGTATATAAACAAGGTAGCCGACTGAGGGAGTGATATTCCATTGCTGTTGTACAGTACAGCTTCAGTGAAGATATATATGAGAATATCAAAAGGGAAATGCAAAACGGATCTATGGGAAATCGTCTCATGTCGTTATTTTTCGTGGCCGTTATATTCGTATCATCATGGATATATCGCAGTGGCGATTGTAGGCAGTCCTGTATTTACCTGCCCAAAACCTCATCCCTTAAAATCATTTGTTTGAAAAACATCGCAGTCGTAAAATCGTTAAGCTCTTTGTCGGCCGATTCTTTTCTTTTCTTTTTCTGTCCCTTCTTCTTTTCCCCCTGCTTTTTGTTTTCTTGTCGAAGAAATTTTGGAGGGAAAGCGGTTTCAGCTGCACAACGGCGGCTGTTTTATCTTTCTTTCTTTTTTTTCCATGGTTAGGCTCCTTTTTTATTGGCGAATCGCGATACTCGTCAAGGGCTGTGCCCGAAAAGTAGACCTCGCTCCACTGGGATCGATAAGGCCGGAAACAAATTCAAAGTCCCCGCTGGCCGTATGCTAGTGTTCTCGTTGGACCAGCAGGCCGGCGATCACGGCCCAGTCGTCCTCCCTCGTGGCTCTCAGGACTGCTACCCCCACTCCGACTTCCACTACTGGTGGACGTATCCGTGTCATCACCAAACCGACCACGTCGTCCTGTGCCAATCGCAACCGGAATCCCTTGCACAATCCCTCCATGGTCGTGACCTGCAGGATACATCCCATCGTTGACGGAGAAATTCCGACAGATCAGATAGGCGCGCATAGCTGCGCTTTCTCTGGCCAGGGCTTCCGTTTCGCAATAGACGTCCGTCTGGTATTCGCGATTATTGACGCGCACAATGCAGCCATACCCGGCAGCACATGGATATGATTCGTAAAAGGGTTCCGGCCAGCGACGGCGGCGGCAAAGACCTGCAGACAGAAAAAAATATGTTATTGGCTGTGCAACGTTATATGTTTGCCTGACGTAGGGAATTTCTGCCTGACGCCCTCCATTTTCATTTATTATTTTTTTTAAACAATAAGAAAACAATCAGCCAACAATGATGAGCTTTTGATAGCCGCGGATGCTCAGGGTTTAAAAAAAAAAAACTCCGGGGTATAAAAGCTTATTAGGCCCAGTTGATCCCGGATTAATGGTGAAGGGGAAGGGGAAGAGACAGCAAGTTTTCTTGTGGGTTCCCAGTTAACCGTTGGAATAAAAAAGCAGGCACCTTGACCAAAAGAAAAAGAAAATCACAGCATCGTTAAGTTATCTGCGGGGCAGGCATGACGACTCATGAAAAAGCAATTGATATGCTGGGCTGGTTTTGTTTTCTTTTCCATTTTCGCTCAAGCTTCCACAATCTCTCCTAGGATATTTAGGGCAACATACTCGCAAGGTACAGAATGTAGTACATTTCGATGGTGAAAATCCCGACGGAATATCGAACTTGATACCCGACGATTAAGGCTGGAGGTGCCCAAGTGAGGTCGTTGAATTGGCAGTATGAACCTAAGGAGGATGAAGAAGCTTGATGCCCAGCAGCGCCACCAGTATACAACCGCCTTAAGATCCTTTAAGTGTGCTGGACAAACAGGTTGTTGGCAGATTGGCAAATAAACCGGGAGGTACCTATGGATTAATAAAAGAATAGCGGGTAAAGCCTCTAAAATATGCGATACAAAAAATAAAAATAAAAAAGGTTGCTCTGGCCGATACGTCTAATGAGAAAACAAGCCATTGTAGACAGCGAAGCAAGCGTGATTTAATGTAGCGTAAAATATATGGGTGGGGCTAGAAATAGGTATTAACCCTGGCAATCAAGGTTTAACTCAATCGAGTGATTTGAAATGACCAGATAGAAAAGGGGGATGCTGTGGGAAAGGAAATTATCGCTCTCTACCTGAGTTTTTTTTGATTATTCCTGCCTTGATGTGTTGGCATGGCTTTCTGCCAGTGACGGATAATGGGGAAGCTCGAGAACTTCATTGTTGAGCCTATCAAGATTTAATTCGGCGTCGATCTAAGCGACGAGGATTGGCTCGTCCGGCTCAGACAAGACACTCGAACAGCTGTACCGTAGGCCCACCAGTGCTGCCAAAGCCAGATTGTGCGCAACGTTTGGTCTTACGAGGCGTCTCCCTCAAAGCACAGCCAGAAAATGGTACAGACCCCGCAGAGCAGGAGCGGAATCACCCTCTCTCGGCGTGCTGGAACACTACCAACTTCCGCTAATGTATTTTATATTCGCAATGGTTGGATTCGCGATGCCCAAGACGCGCTGAATTTGAAGTAGAATCCTGGCGCGAAACGCATGATGCCAGAATTGTCTGCAGTAAATTAATAGTTGCCTTTTCTCGGGAAGCTCCAGCCCCACAAACTCTCATCTGCCTCCATTCATCGACCCTTGTTCTTTCGCTAGTCCTTAAAAGGGAGCAGCGGGGTTATGCCACAAGTTTTGCATCAAGAATGACCGATTTGCCGGGTCATCATCAGAGTCGCACGTAATCCACTAATATGACAGTAGGACACGATAAACGAGGAACACTTCTGCTCAGAGTTCGGCTGAGTGGCAGTATAATCGACAAACCTGCGGCAACTAGGCAGCCTCTGAACTCAGCGGAATATTGATACGAAATGGATCCAAAACGCAGTGTTTGGGCAAAGGAACTGGCGCTGCCGGTGCGTTGTCGTTCGACTAGTGACAGGCATTGAGGATGCAATGATGAGTTGGCAATCGATGGCTCCTCACCAGTGGGGAAGACGCTGCATCATGTTCCAGAAATGGACGACGCAGACCACGAGGGTCCAGCATGTACATGTACTTTGCCGCTTTTAAATACGAATAAATATTTCTCGCAGAGAGACCCTTAAAAATGGGTGAAATCATAGGATAGTAATGATCGAAGATCTCCTTTTCCAGAAAGTCATAACTCCCTATGGGCATGTAAGTAATCGTTCAACGAAAAAAGACGTTGAAGTCCGCATAAATCACCTACCAAGGATAAACGAAAACTAACGCCTGCGCCTATGCACATTTATGTGTGGCTTTCGGCGAATCAAGTGCGCCCTTAGTTCAACTGCCCAGGAAGCATGATAAAAGGTTAAATGTTCCACCCATATTATTCCGCAAACCGTTTCGTTCCCGACATTTTGTTCGTAACAGTCGACGGCAGCATCATTGGACAGGGTATTGGGGAAGAAACAGGATAATCCTGGTGTCTTCTCGTAATCCCAAGATTGACTCCTCCTAGCCAAGGGGAGAGGATGATTCGCTATGCTAATGAATGCTTCCCGTGCTTGCAGGAGGCGATATAATCGTGCAGATCCACAATGCGACCTGAAGAAATAAAACACACTCTCATTCTTGCCGTCTTACTCTCGCGCAGGTTCGTTCATTTTCACGTCACGACCTGAAGAAGCGTCTCAGGAATCAGAGGCGAGCTGGCCCATCTGGAATCAGAGGTCATATAACCCCCTCGCTGGATACGGCTTGCAGCTGCAGTCAGGACAAACTAGTGATACAAGAAGAAAGAAAGGGGTGCTGTTTAGCTCAGCCCTCAACGCTTCTTCTGGATGTAACATTCCTATGGCGTCAATATGATCAAACCATGCCACCGAGACACAGGATATTCTCCTCAGAAGGAAGAGAGAGAGGCGAGGAGGTTGCTTTTGACTCTGGAAAACGTGACCAGTTACAGAAGGTTACAATGGACGCCAAGACATGGGATTCAGTTCATTTGGACTGTTTCCTCCAGTAGGAACATGAAGATTTGAGCGTTCCAGTACGCGAGATTGAAAAGACAACTAGCCTTGATCTTACGTTGTTCGTAGCCTTACTACCTTCTAGTTGTCTCAAGAACTTGCTTATGTAGTATATACAGGAAAAACAATCCTAACTTCTCCTACTGGATCTCTTGGATCCGAACTATATATCTTCGAAGCGGCACAAAGGTTGCCTTCCCATAATGTTCAGCCCAAAACACCATTGTGTCATGCCGATAAATGCGGACCTTTTTGATGTTCAAATTTGGAGAGGATACTTCTCACACCATTCCCGCATATTCTCCGCTGCACGATGCGGGATCACGAAGAGAGGATGGACCACTTCTAGTCGATCTCCTTCATCAAAAACGATAGTAGACTGGTCGTGTTCCGTTGAAGCGGTTACAGGTGCATGCGACCAGGAAAATGCGGACGGAAAAGGATTGTCGGGTCCTGTCACCGATGCAACGCCTGTATTGAAGTGGTGGTGCTGGGCGGTGCTTAATCCAGAGAGGATATAACAGGTATGGTAGGAATCGGGGTTTCTAAAAGAGGGAATCAGTTACGCCGATAAAAAAAGAAGAAGAAAAAAATTCCATAAACTATCCACAATTTTCTCCTGCACATAAGCGGATGATGCGCATACCCCACGGGCCGGAGAATGCACTTACTTGCCTGGTTTATCTCGTAGTCCGCCATGGGGCCCTTGACAACAACTGAGGATATATCGCGTCAATCCTTCGCGGTGGAAAAGACTGCCAGATCTTGAATATGACGGGGTGGATGTAGACTGGATGCCATTGACTGCGGCTTGGATCAAGGGCCAGCAACCGCCAACCCAGTGGCTGTAACATCCATCGACCAGTTTGTTAGTCCTTCCCGCGAACCCACCTTCAGGGGCACACTGTCTAGCTGAGAGCCATGATATCAAGAGCGGAAGATCCATATATCTGGAAAACGGGCTTAGAAATACCTCCGCAGTACATGAACAGGACTCATGACGCACCTATTGATCATCTCCTTAGGGTCGCCAAGAATGCATAGACATGCCAAAGCACAAAATGCATATGCACCGTGTGCTTCCGTCCCCGGACTTCCAGAAATGCCACCTTCGAAGGTTTGACCTAGACGAAATAATGATCAGCTCTACCTCCCAGGTGATGCCACATGTTCTTTCTTTTCTTCTTCTCTTACATCTAGACAAATATTCTGGCAGCCCGCTTATGAAGGTGTCTAGGCCAGCATGTCTAGCGGGCGAATCCGGAGGGAGTTGGAGCGGAAGATCCAGCAATGCAATTATCACCATCGCACAGTATGCACCTCTGCAGCCCGTTAGTGAATAATATTCGACTTCAAACGTGGTTCGGGAATCTTACCGTACATCCTCCTCACCGCCAAGGGTTACCTGAAAGCCACCATCTGCTTGCTTCAATTTCCCCAGCCATCGCCACCTTATCTATCAGATTAGGATCTTTCGGACAAAGGGGGAACAATTGACACAAAGCGGTATGCAAAGGCATACTAGGAAGACTCACATCGCTGTCCGATTGACTAGTTTAAATGCATCCTGCCCGCCCACCAGGGCTAGAGAAAGTATAAGTGCGTAAGAAGAAGCGCAATGCGACATCTGACCGTGCCCTCCGCCAAAACCCCCTGTGGGGTTTTGCATCGGGGCAGCAGTAGCTATGACTCTGGACGTTTAGAGTAGCAAGTTAGTGGGATGGTAACACGAGAAACCCAAATAAACTTTCAAAAATGTACTCGTCTCCCTTGCGCATCGAAGATCTATCTGTCAGGCTTTTGACAGCACCCCCCACACCATAAATGGTGGATATGGTATATCACACCAGGAAGGGAAAAAAATAAAAATAAAAAATCATAAATCAGACATAAACAACAATCAAAAAACCTACCGCTCCCGAAACTTCGTAACATCTTCTCCCAAAAAATGCAATCCCGCCAACGCCCAATAGACCATCCACGGACGACTTGAATCAAGCCCAACAAAACGCTCCGGATAAGACTCGAGCGAGTCATATAGGAACGAAACATGCTCGTCCCGGTCCAGCCTTGGCACACCAAATCGATTGAACGGGCCATTCTGCGAACTGGCCAGCCCCTTCAGGAACGGGAGACACTGGTCAACCGTGGCATCCTGCGTCTTCGAAGTCTCCGTAACCAACTGGTCGCGGATGAGGGGTAGCTGTGTGAATAGGTCCGGAATGCTCTTTTGATAGTGGGGTTGAGCGGGGAGGCTTGGTGGGGCAGCCATGTTATTCTTTTTCTTCTTCTTCTTCTTCTTCTTCTTTTTACTCCGCTTGTCGTGCGAATGAGGGTGCACTGGTGAGCTTGATGAAGGTTCCCCAATGGCAGTAGTAGCAGTGGTGGTAGTAGGAGTAGTGTGGGGGGATGAATCGGATTTCAACTGCGGTTGCTTGTGTCGTTGCTGTAAGGTGTTGTCCCTATGAGTGCCGCTACGGCCATGCAACCTGCTTATGGTTGTTCTGAGGCGGGCGTGAGATGATGATGCCGATGATGATGCCGATGCTGTCCCTGGGGCAGATTCTTTGTTATATGGGGCGGTCGTGGGGAAGCGGACTGGACGGCGATATTTGCCTCTGATCATGTCCTGCTTGCGTAGGTTCGAGCCTCCATGTATGATGCTTTTTTATGCTTCAAGGAATGCGCCAATATATCCTTCGGCTCTTTGTTGCTTACATTGAGGGGGTTGTTATTCGTATTGTGCTGTTGAGAGTTCCTTTGTCTGCGAATGAATTGTTTTGTTCGCTGATATTACTAACTATTGTTTAGTTAACTTAAATATCTTAGAAAACCTTGATCCGTTCGCTGGCTCGCTCCTCTCTCCGCACACCACCACGAGAGTCTCGTCTCCCAACTAGTTTACCTTGGCCATCTGTGCAAGATGAAGGGTCCATTTCTATACTATGAAGCTGTGAGTATCTACAACGTTTAACAGTATCTATTTTATTCATTTTCCTTCTATGAGGATACACGCACAGCTTCGCCACATTGCAAAATCCTGCGCGGGTTCCATCTCTGTGGACACGTACATATTATTTAACCTCGTCCCTTGAACGCAAAGGTAGGCGATAAGGATTTTTGTGCTCCGCGTTTGCTCCGTGTCCAATCTCCTCTCATTTTGCTTCCATTCTACTCATCCCGCCATGCTCTTCTTCTCCACAATGAATTCTTCTATTTGAATCCGTACATGTCCCAACAGGCTGGTCGACTGTGCTCACAAGCGGGCGATAGACATTGTCCTTTTTCGTCAAACGGGGAGATATCTGGGAGAAAAAGGGAAAAAAGAAAAAAGAAAGAAAGAAAGAAAGAAACTTTGAGTACAGCTATGCAGCCCCTCCTCCATGCGTGAAAATTAAGACGATTTTCTGCGCTTTGAAACATGTTCTTCTCTCGAAAGGCCAAACAACCACACGAATGGCTCCTGCTGGCATCGGATAGCACAGCAAATATAAGACCACCCAAAGGCTGGGCGCATTTCTATGACCCGCGAGACGGCTGCGAGTGCCATTTCTATTGCACCCCATACAAAAATGATGTAGGCGGGATGCGCGACGGAACAGACTCCAGCCAAAAATGCCTTCATGTTGTGATGGGCTGAAGCTAATCGTGATCAATCGGTCAAACATCATGCTGTGGCAGTGCTCTGGTTGGATTAGATTTTTTTTTTATCCTATACAAGTCGTCCGGGACTGGCTTAACAAAATGAAAGGAGGAGAAGAAAAAAGGAGAAGAGGAAGAGGAGATGCGGAGTTTATTCTAAAAGGAACAATTGCAGGATATGAGGATATGGGAGAACTATTCCTTTCTCTCTCTCCTTATAAATTATGTGTTGGTTCGAAAGGAGTGAGTAGTCATAGGTTGTAGGTACGTCTAAGAAAGAATTTCCGAGTACATTTACCGCAAACCAAATATCCTCCGTCTAGAGAGACGCAAAACATTTTCCGCATACCGTATCCGGTATCAACAGAGGCCACTGCAAGAGTTTGAACGATTCAGCACGGGAGAAGAAGCACATTGGTTTTTCTCCCCCCTCCCTTTCTCCCCCAGACTCAAGAACATGACCTCCAAGGAAGGAGAGAATCGATATGAGAGAGGGGAATGCCACCTCCCTGAGCTAAGTCCGTATAGGATTTTTTTTTCTCACTAATCAATAGTGGATTTCCCTTTCCGAGCTTAACGCATATCATCCCATATCATTCCTAGCCAGGCCAGGCCAGGCCAGGCCAGGACATGTCGTACCATGATGGCGCGTCGATTCTGCGGTGATGATGGATCGTTTCTAGATTCTATTTTCAGTCCTACCGCCTCTTCAATCAACCTCTAGCGGTCAATTTTGACGGAAACGTATCCCAATTACACGTCGGGAATTGGTGAGTGCCTTGCGAGGGGCGAGGGGAAAGGAAGAAAGAAACGGGGGGACAAAAGTATATGCAGATTCACCGTATGTTTATTAACCCTCCGGGATGGCCGAGGAGCGGTGTCTTTCCGACCCATAAAAAAAAAATAAAAAATAAAAAATATCGAAGGTAAAACTTGCGGGGACTTTTATTTTATTTTATTTTATTTATTTTGAAATGAAACAGGCGATCTCCAGGGCCCCTCTCCCCTCACTCAATGGATGGATATGTGGTATGCTAACTGAAAGCCCAGTAGACAGATAGGTAGACAGGTAGACAGGTAGACAGGGGCCTTCCCTGACCGCTTCCAATCACCCCATCCGCTCCGCGGTGTCTGCATAGTTTTTGTCTAGCCTTCCCACTCGGCCCTTTGGGGCCCTGGTATCTATCGTATCATCTATCTCTGTTTTTCGTTTTCTGTGTAGTAGAGAAGAAAGGGGGCGGGGCGGCTTATGGGATGATGATGGAGTCTCTCCATTGACGTTCAGATCATGGAAGAAAACCAACACAACACGTATGGATCATGGATCATGGATCGGGATCTGTGGTTGCTAGAAAGTTTCCAGCTCCGGTTTCGAAATATTATTTTAGTCATTGCCAGTCAAATCGATCAGATCGGAGCGGTCGATGGAGCGGGGCACCCCCTCTCCCCCAAGCTTAACTCTCCTGGCGGTATGAGTATGAGTGGATTTGGAGAAAGGTTAGGTAACGCGGGAACGAGGAGAGGAATGGAAAGGAGCAATGACAGGGAGAGAAAGGAGAAAGGAGAAAGGCAAGAAATTAAAAAGCGCACTTGAGAGGATCCCGCCTGGCCGCTTGCCGACGATACTGCAAAGAGAAAGAAAAAGTCACATTCTCCCCAATTAATAAGACACAGAATGGCGGTATAGAGCGCATATATCATATTCCCCGCCCACCCCAGGCAACCAGGTGGAGCATACGCAGTACGCTGCGTATGCATTTCTTGCATAGTATGTATTCCCGGCTCAAAAGAAAAAAATTCTCCATATCCTCCTTGATGCGGGTTGCCCCATGCACGCAATCTTTAACCTTATTTTGACAAGTACATACCAGCCTCCCTCAAATATTTTCAGGTCTCCTTTTTTTTTAAAAAATAAAAAAAGTCTCATACACTCTATTAGAGCGCAGCGCACTGCCAGTAGCTCTTGGTTTGGGTGGGCATCCATTCTGGGTATAGAGCATATATTTGCACAGCAATTGAACGGTGAGAAGTTATTTTTCCTTTGATCCTGCGGGATCAATGATGCCTTTTTTTTTCTCTCTCTCTCTCTTTTCCCTCTGCTTGGCTCAGGATCAAGGGAGCTCGTTTGCAAGCGAGCATGCAATGATGCAATGATATAATGATGCATTGGCACAATGCGCTATATACAGTCGGAGCTGCACGTACGTGGCGCAGATCCACGATCAGGGAGGCAGATATGGTAATTCCGAGCGTGGTTGAGGGAAATAGGGGGGCGGGAAATGGTTAAAGTAAAAATAAATAAATAATAAAGTAAAGTCAAGTAAAATACAAGACCAATAAAAGAATAATGACAGTAAGAGGACATATTCTGCGTCGAGAAACAAAAAGGCGCAGCCATATAACCAACGCGGGCATTTCCGTTTTCGGCAATCCCCTCCTCCCTGCCCTGCCAGGTGTCCACAGGTCTCCCAAAGTTTCCATTTCTGGAAAGCAGGCGGGTTCAATGGGTTACCAAAATTCCAACTACATCGAGGGCGGTCTGGGAGGAGGAGAATTACTGAGGCGCCAGGCGAGTATTTCCAGTATGGAAAGGGGATAGATAGTAGATGATTGCTCAAGCGGTGATGGAATGAAAGAATAAAAGAAGGAAAAATTGGAAGGTAGGGAGGGAGAAGAGATGACGACCATGGTACAAGTTCATGTATAACTTACCTCAGAATAATGCCATACTCGTCTGATGTTGACTTGAAAAAATATAATCAGGCCTGACAGTCCATAACATATGCTGTATGCCATCACTGGATGATGTCAAGCCCTTTGGGGAATAATATAATGGAAATAAACGCGATGGATCACACGGACTTTGCCCCTTCAGCGCTGCAGACCAAGGAGTGAGTGATAAGGCCAGATTGGGATATTTTCCCTCGCGACACACCGTAAAGGGGAGAATGATTGGTGCTGGTAGCTGACCGGTCGGGGGGGGGGAGAGCAAAACGTGAAACTGATGCATGCAACAGCTACAAATATGGCTATGGATGGAATAATATGTTGACTTACATTGTAATGTAGGCTGCATAAAAGAAACAAGGTACATATAATAGAAAAGGGAACCTTGTGATGCTGTGTATGGTCATAACCAATAATAAATATTATGGCACTTTTCCAGGACAGACTTGTCCTCGGAGGAGCCTCACGGAAGTCCAGCCGGTTGTGGCAACAGAGATATCTAGATACCTGGGCCGGAACGGTGATTTGAACAGGTTTGTTTACGCGAGCCGCGTGAGGTCGATCATGGATAGGAAGCCAGCCCCCAGATTCTGGCCTGCTCGGCATAAAAAGCCCTGGCGGGGGGAAACATGTCATTATTATTATTATTATTATTATTATTATTGACCAACTGACAACCAGCGAAAAGACAGCGAGAGGAGAGTGCTGCTTGGCGAGTTGGCATGCGGGACTCGTATCTGCTGCCCCACCATCCGACCCCGCGTTGTTCTCGTCTCGTCTCGTCCGTGCAGCGTTCACCCATTATTATTATTAGTATTAGTATTATATTGTTGCGGGGAGCCAGCAGCGAGACAGCATCAGGGTTGGGGGGGGTTGGGGGGAAATATCCAGTTTGTCTCACTCCACGTGATGGTTGTTGTTGGTACGTACGCAGTAGGTAAGTTAATAATACCCAGGCAGGTAATGGACGTTGGAGAGAGAGAGAGAGAGAGAGAGAGAGAGACAGGGCTTGTGTGCCCTCAGTCTCATCACAGATAGATAGACAGACAGAATGTTCAAGAATCCAGTCCATCGGGAAGTAAACAAGAAAAATGGAGCCAACTAACTCCCTGCAAGTCTGTGACATCGCAGCAAAGCCCAGATATTCCATTGTCCATCCATCCATCCATCCATCCATCCATCCATCCATCCATCCATCCATTCATTCACTCCCCCGTTGCCCTCTCAGGCGCAGAAACCACGCACTTCAGCGCTAAGTCAGTTTGAAACCGAACCGGCGGTAGTTCACAAGGTAATTGAACCAAAGAGAATGCAAGGACTGGCAAACCCCGCAGCCTGGGGGTTCTTGTATTCTCATCTCAAGCAAGACTGCCGCTCCCCTCTCCTGTAAAGGGATATATACCTGTCTGACTTAAATGTTGAAGCGCAATATTACCCGAAAAGGATAGGGGAGAGAGACAAGTCAAACCAACCCCCCCAATGTTTAGTAATGCGTGAGAATGTGAGATGAGACGGAGACAATAATAAGTTAATAATAATGTTAATAATGGCAGGGTGTTAACAACATGCGAGGAATGTGCGACAGACAGGGACAGGGACACATGCTACCTACTACTACATCCGTCTCTTCTCCCCTCACTGGCTGGTTATTTTTGTTTGATTTTGATGACACTCTTCTGTTCTTGTTTTTGAGGCCCCGGCCGGGGGGAATTTGTATCCCAGTTGAGTTGGTTCCGTTCCGTTGACAACACATCAGACAATCCAAACTGTCGTAGTTTAGTTATCTAACTAACTAGCACTGTTTAACTAGTTAGTAGTTAACTAAACTGCCCTTAGTTTAGGTAGTTAGTTCCAGTTTGTTGGCGAGCTCGCTTTTCCCCAATTGCTCATACGCTTACGCTGTAGTGTTGACGTTGGGATTGCGAGTTCTGCGCCTTATCGGAACCGGACGACGACATCGTGTTTTGTTGTGTGCTCACTGGACTCCTAACTAGTTATGCAGAGAGGCTTTTTTTTGCTTTTCCTTTTTCCTTTTTTGCTGATGGATGATTCCCTTGTTTTGTTGCGGACTAAGTTACATCGTTAGCCGGGAAGATCTCCATCTTGTCCGTCATGCTGTCGATGCCCATCACCCGCCGTCCCGCGGAGGGTTGCTGCAGGCGGAGAAATGGCTCTTCATTCATGTCTTCGGCTCTCTCTATGTGCTGTGCTGTGTGGGGGCATTGTGGCCTGACTCTGGTCCTGGAGATTCTCTACGGTGAACATGGATATATTTCTATCCGTCATGAGGAAGTGTGTAACACTGTTGAGTTGCCCCAAGTATTTATTTATTAATTTCTGTAATTTTTTGAGAAGATCCCCCCCAAAAAAAAGAAAGAAAAAAAAAAAAAGAAAAGAAAAGAAAAGAAGAAAAAGAAAAAACCCCTTCCTTGTGCGTTGACGTGTTTTATGTCATTAACCGTTGTCCTTCTTACTCGATCCGGCACAGCCTTTTCAACGAGTGGTTTTTTTTTTTTTTTTTTTTTTTTTTCACTCGGTTCCATATCTCCAGATCTCACCTGAACATTTGTATTATTTCTTTTTTCTGAGATGCGATTTGTTGGAATAGATAGCTATCCTGGTTTCCCTCAATCTGCTTGGCTGATCTACCCTCCCTCCAGCAAACTTTAGATGTGACGAAAATAACCACACAGGAAGAAGAACATACTCACATCCATCCCATGAGCGAACAAGAGGAGAGAAAGCAAAAGCAGAACCTTTGGCCCAGAAATGGACAGGTATTTGCCATGGCAACACCAAACCCAGCAGCTCCACAGCCAGGGTACATTATTATCTGCGCAACAAGCAGAACAGAGGAGAGAGATGATACGCGCTGACTGGGACAAATGAGGGAATCCCTTCAACTAAATATTCCGGGGCACTGCTTGTGTGGGTTTCACAAACAAAAGGGCGCCTTTTGGCCTATTGTTTGTTTTCGTTTCAACCCGTTTTTTTGTGAGGCAGGAGACGAGAGGAAACCGGTTACCCCCCTTAAAAAAAAACGTGTTTTTGTTCATTTCAAGCTTCTTTTTTTTTCGATAGATCGTCGGGTGACACTGTAGCCGAGATCAATATGTTGTATACGTGACTAGAAGTAGTAGTAATAAAGTTCTCGGAATACCTGGAAATGCCCCCTCCCGTTTGAAATAGAATTTCTGGCTTGCCCACTCTGAATCTCGGGTCGAACCGCGGGATCACATCCGCTGACGGAGGCGGCGGTTCTTTTTTGGGGAACCTTTGAACTTTCTTGAAATTTTTTTTTTTGAATTTTACCTTAGCGGGTTGTATCCACGGATTCAACCATTCTTATTTCTTTTTCCTTGCTGAACCTTTTTTATCGCTCAGGAGAACTTGATAAGTTGGCACAAGTTAACGAGAAGATTTAGTTAGCAGTAGTTAGAGAAAGCCAGCGGGGAATCCATAGCGGGTTCATCATATCCACAGAGACAGAGATAGTTTAGTTAGCTAGCTGCCAAAGACATAATCTTACCAAAGAGAGGAAGTCTGGGAAAAGCAAAAGCGCCCACTCAATAATAGGCCCGGATGATGCTGGTGCTGTGGGTTTTTGATAACTCGTGATCTGGCTGGCGGACCGCGCTGCTGATTCCGGCGATGGACCGAGCTTATCGCTGGCGATATGCAGCCGTCGAGTGGCAATTAGCGCCCTCGCTCAAGGACCAACACTCCAGGCTTAGGTTCGTGCAAGTGCTTTTGCCCCGGTTCTGCCCCCAGCCTCACGCGCGACCGCAGGCGTGGGCATACGATTGCAAAAGGCGTGTACAGAAGCTGGTGGCTGTCCAGTGCGTCAAGACCGGCAAGTTGACGGAGCTGCGTGATGTACCCTGGCGCAGAGAACTGGCTGGGAGGGTACAGACTTGTACAGCGGCATGCAGCTTGCAGGCGGGCGGGCAGGGCGTGGCCCCAAGAAAGGGTAGCGCGGGAGTGAGTGGTGCGAGCGAGGGAGTTGGCTGGGGACTGGGCGCTGCAGCCACGGCCCAAGCTCCGGCGGACACTGCCCAACCAGCGTCGGGGCTGGCTCACCGCTGCTTTGGCTCCCCAGCGTCCCCAGACTCGCCCGCCCGGCAGGAACAGCACAAGTAAAGCACACGGCCCCCCAGCCCTGCCGCACCCGCTCGCTCAACGGACTTCGCCTTCCTCTCCTCACG